CTGCTGGCGGTGGTGACTGACCATTGCCAGGCCAATCTAGACAATTCCCCATTTTATGGGATAAAAAACATATGGTTAATAACATGGCGATGCATCTCATAACAGACAATATGTTGAACTATTTATATGGCCAAACTTATACCCACACGAATTGGGAATTAAAATTAAGAAATGTTCCAGAGTTGGATAACTCGATGGACGATGGCTTACGCTTAAGTTACCAGAACGAAATGCTCATGTTCAGCAAAATGCTGCAACGCTATTTTAGCAATTCAAAGGATTCTTTGATAGCCCATAAAATAAGTAGCGACAGATTGGAGTCCTTGGGCACAGCCCTTGGGCCAAACATTTTTGAAATAATGGTGTATGCTGCGAATCTGCACCCACAAGAGGAGTAATCTTTTGTCTTCACTTCATTGATCATTCACCCAACACTGACATCGCCGCATCACCAACAGCAGCAGCAGCATCTGTGCCACATGTGATCTCCACATCCCCATCTGAGATGCAACAGCATGAGCAACAAACGCCACAACAGCAACAGCAGACGCCGTTTGAAGCGGATCTCCAGGAGAGCGTAAACGCTTTAATGGAAGAAGAGGAGCAGCCTCTAGCTCCGCTCTCACCGCTGTCGGAGGCAGAAGAGGAGCAGGGCACGGGTAGGATAACAAATCCAAGAATTTTGGACTTGCTGTAACTGTAACAACAAAATCGCACAAATAATTAATGAAAATTTTCACCAAGCAGGATTCCTTGTAGAAGCGAAGCAAGCGTGAGGAAAACGTTCCTCTCCCAAATCTGCCACGACCAGCATCTGGGATCCTGGGACATTGCAGGACACGCCGCTTTCGTAATTCCATTCCAGCTGACGTTCCAGGGAACGTTACGTTCTCGTTCACGTTTAGCATTTGAAATTTGAAATTTTCGCCCTTCAGCCTTTTGTAATCGTAAGCAAACCTTGATATTGGATCAAATCTAACCACGGCCAATAAAAGTCGCCTAATCAGATATAAAATGAAGAGTAAAGGGATGTGTTGTTTATAGAAAACTGTTTATTCTAATAATATATATTATATATATATAATAATATTTACCATTTTTTTAAAGCGCTTCCAATTGCCCAACCTGAAGGATTTCGACAAGTGGGGCAATCGCGTGGTGAAGAACTTGCTCTATTACCAAACCAACTACATTCTGCTCTTCCTGGTCATCTATGCGCTGATGATTGTGTGCAATCCAACCAAGATAATCATTGGCTTGATTGTGCAGGCCTTGATCAGCGCCGTCATTTGGCAATGCTTCAGCAGCAAATCGAAGCCCAGCTTCATTGCAAGAACAAAACGCTCAACAGAAATGGTACATCCTGGCTGGTGCTCTGCTTGGCAGATATCTTTTTTTGCACCTGATTAGCGCCGTGCTGCTGACCGCCTTTACCTTGCTGCTGCCCATTTCGGTGACTTTCATACACGCCTCACTGCGTCTACGCAACATGAAGAATAAATTGGCCAACACCATCGAGAGTTTTGGTCCATCTACTCCCATGAGTGCCCTGCTGGATGCGTTGAACGTACGTGCAGAAGACGTGATCAATTAAGAAACGGTTCAATAGCTGTTGGCCTACAGGACCGAGACATAGAATCCACGTTTTTACAACTAGTTATCCCTTGAATGTTGAACCTTGCAAACAATGTATTACCATATAATCGATTTGATCTTGAGTTTTGTATGTATGTATTTGTAAATATGATTTTATTACTTGTGTACTTTGCTATTATGATTTTCAATAAAGTTTTCCCATAAAGAGCAAAAGTAAAATCCCAGCATACATTGGGAGAAGCTCAGCTCAAGTCCTTCCTTTCTGTACATACTGATAGCTCCGTCGCATAGTAGACGTACCTCATTCGAGTTCATCTGGGAGTCGAGTCGAGTAGCAGAGCCTGTTGCACATTCTTCATTATACGTATATTGGTGGTTTTTTACCTAATTTCGAGTTTTGGTTTTTATAAATTGGTTTAACATGTCGTTGGTTTGTGTTGTGTTCAAGCGTCTGCCTCCACCTCCGCCTCTGCCCCTGCCTCCTTCGGGTGTGATGTAACTTCTGGTCTGGGGCGTCGGCTTCGGCTTCGTCTGGGTGTGGTGTGGTGTGGCCACCTTGTGGACACTGTCCTTAGCATCTCCTGCTTGCGTTGCTTTATCAGCAAGCGCTCGCCTGCACTGCCACTCTGCAGCAGGATCCCGTATACATTGACGACTGTTGTCACCGACGATGCGGCAGACACCGAGGACGCGTCGGATAAATGGCCGGAAAATTCTCCACTGTCCGTAGATACATATGTAAGTCAAAGTCATCAGTGTCGTCGCTGCTCAAGTAGTAGAAATAAAGTTGTGTGGGCTGCGGCAAGTCGTGATCCCGTAGGTGATCCGGTCGGTGCGTCAGTGTCCGATTCCGCGTCGGTTTCCGATTCCGTTTCCGCGTCGGTTTCTGTTGTTTCCGGTTTTCCGTTAGACACTTTTAAATTCCGTCCGTCTGTGGTCACCATTTTTTTTCTGCATTTTTCCGCGGCGACGCCAAAACATAACGGATCTTTTGCCTAGGGCTGCAGAATCGTTGGCAGAATCGATTCAATAGTATCGAAAGAGTGTTTTTATAAAATATATATAAATTTTAATTTGATTTCTTTCTTTCTTTCGGTTTGAGATTGGCGCGGCGACGGCCGACGCGGTTGATTTCTCCCAAAGAACTGCACTCCTGCTTACAAGTAAGTTCTAAGCACTCCCGACGCTCACTGCTCGTTCTGCAACATTGTTGCGTACCCAAAACTCCGGTGTCGCTGGGCAACATCCCCTGTATAACGGCTGATCTTGTGTTTTTTATGTTTTATGTTTATGTTTTTTCGATCGATTGTGTTAACTTATATATTATATTAATAATAATAAATTAATTGAATAATATAATTTATAATACTATAGTACGTTCTTATGGAATACGTTATAGTAGATAGTACTCTCCATAGTACGTTTTCGTCTGTTTTTAAAACAGTCGATAGGTGCGTGTCGTGTCGTGACTTGACTAGGGCTGCAAAACCAAATTAAATTTCAACTGTCAACTGTGGCGCACGCGAAAATTTCAAAACAATTTCGTCCCGATCTAAAGTGCAAGTGCTCGAATTGCAAGTGAATGGATAGTGATATGGATACGGCCACGGTACAGACCAGTGGAACAGCACAGCAGCAGACGGCCGCGGTGAAGCGCAATATTGATCAGCAGCCGCTGGCCAAGTGTCCGCTGCCAGTTGCAATTTGGTACCCCCCGACAAGCTCAACATCATCAGCAACAAGTGTGTATTTAATGCAGTTCTTTGCAAGGAGCAAGGATATTTATCTTGGTTTCTTTTCCTTATTTTAGCATTCGGAGACAATGGCTATGTAGTCACTCTCGAGCACTGCTACCACAAGCAGCCACGACCGCTGGGTATACCAGATGCAGTGTCCAGGCCTCCTGCTGCGGCATCGCCAGCAAGGAAATGCAGTACCAACAACCAGTTGGCGCAGGCTCCTGTGGCGGCAAAGCGTGGGAGGAGGAAGCTAACATCTAACATTGCTGTTGCTGCTGTTTCTTCCGATACCGAAGTGGAAAGTGCTGGCGATAGCTGCAAGCAACGTGTCAGCTACGGCATTCAAATATTTGTACATTCGCGTGGTAAGTTATTATCCTTATACATAACAACATTATATTTTCGAATACTTCAACAGGTTCCAGTCACAGACGAGTCGCACCTAGGCTCGCGAAAAATATGGCCGGATTTGATGATGTTCTGAGCAAGATTATCAAAATAGGATAAGAGAACAACCTGCTGGCGGTGGTGACTGACCATTGCCAGGCCAATCTAGACAATTCCCCATTTTCCCCATTTTATGGGATAAAACACATATGGTTAATAACATGGCGATGCATCTCATAACAGACAATATGTTGAACTGTTTATATGGCCAAACGTATACCCACACGAATTGGGAATTAAAATTAAGAAATGTTCCAGAGTTGGATAACTCGATGGACGATGGCTTACGCTTAAGTTACCAGAACGAAATGCTCATGTTCAGAGGATTCTTTGATAGCCCATAAAATAAGTAGCGACAGATTGGAGTCCTTGGGCACAGCCCTTGGGCCAAACATTTTTGAAATAATGGTGTATGCTGCGAATCTGCACCCACAAGAGGAGCTATACTACTTGGCCCGTGTGGTGGGGATAATAATTTTACTGACCACTCCCAAACCATGAATGATTTAAGCGACGAAATGGACAGCAGCGTGGACAAGGAGTGCACAGAGGAAAGGTGATGCGAAAGACCGGATACAAAGGTGGAGGAATCATACCAGACTTTGGTCGGCAAAGGTAAGTACTCGCTGAAATAGCAACTTTGGTTGAAAGTGAACAGCTGTGAACAGTACTAGTACTAAAAACTACAATAATTCATTATATTTATTAACATGGTCATTTAATACATGGCAAAGCGCAGACTTAAGTGCAAGTCGTGAATATCAATTTAACGTCGCAGTGACAGAGATGTTTTAGAAAAAATAGATTGCATTTAAATCCTTTTCGCTCATTAACTTTCAAACAATTTCTATTTGGCGCGCACCACTTGTATCAAGTCGATAGTATCGATAACCGAACTTGAACCGGTTGACAGACCATTTTCGCTAAAACCTATTTTTGCGTAAAATGCAATAATAGCAAGTGTTTGAAATAAAGCAGTCAAGTAGAAAATTGATTTATTAATCGTATAAAATTATGTGGGCATGGTTAAATGTTCTATATAGCTGAGAATATTCCACGGAATATCAAAATCGAGGAATATGTAAAATAGAACTTGAATTTGTCAGTATATTTACGGTATATTTTTTAAATGAGACGGTATACTTAGGTATATGTCTGAGGTTCAGACGGGTATATTTTATCGACTTTATCGATAAGTCTCCGTGCAATAATTGTTTGTTTTGTTTGTAATTTTCAATTAATACGATTCAATTAATTTCAATTTCAACGAGGTGATTGACTCGCCAAACATGGCCGACGACCCAGAGAGCTCAATGGACCGACCCACGGATGACAGCGACACCAGCAAACCGGAGAATATGTTCACCCTGAAAAAATGGAACGCGGTGGCTATGTGGAGCTGGGATGTGGAGTGCGACATTTGCGCGATTTGTCGTGTGCAAGTAATGGGTAAGTAGATTGCATTTATATTGGGCACTGAATATGTAAACAGCTAACCACATTTCGAAAAGTCAAGGCGATCAGTGAATACAGCAGATTCGGTTGAAACCAAAGAGACAATGAAACAAAGGGAAAGGAATGACTGATGGAATGAGTAACAAGATTCAACTTGAAGCTATTGCCAAGGGAAATGATTGGTATCAAGATATTAACATGTGTCCATGGATAACCTTCTATGATCCTATTCATTCTATCATTTCCAACTGGCTCGAGCTGTTGCTTGGAGTGGAGGTCAGTGGTATCCCTGTACAGGCTTCATAGTTCCATCCATCTTAAACTCCACTCTGTATTGAATTGTAACTTGCCCTCAAGCTTGACTCCACTCCGAGTGTCTGTGGGTAGATGCTGCAATAGATATTAAATTGTATACTAAATCGTTAGGGATTGTAGAGCAACTCCATTGTGCGTGACTGCCCCCATTACCAGTTCAATCCAGGCAAATTAAACAACAGATTACACAGGCAATCAGAGATTCGAATTGAGGCAACAAATTCTAGATCTGTCTAGAATCAGTCAGGCATCGGGCGAATGCACCGCTTTCAGTCCCTGTCCTAATGGGAATCCGATAAGGAACGTACCCCGAATCGAACCGAGGCCCATGTAATGCTCTGCCTTATCTGCATCACTATCACTCCGTTGCAGCGTCAGCAGCCAAATGTCTCTACAAATATTAAATGCAATTGTCAATTATACAATACAAAATGCTGTTGCCAGTCCCACTGGACGGGGCGGACGTAAATGCGTTTCTATTTTTGTAGTTCATGTGCATCTGGAATGGCCATCCGTTTGGCTGTATTTAGCCTAGACTCTGGCGGGGCATATTTCCAATGAAACTCACGTATTTTGAGCCGCTGACATTGTTCCAACTGTAAACTGCACCCTGAAGGTCGTATGGTAGTTTGTGCATTTGGCTTCGGTTTCCACTTGACCCAGAGAGGGGCGTGACTGACTGGCTAGGGAAATTCCAGCAGCAGCAACATCAGGAGAAAATGCACTTCAATTTGGTTTGATTGTATTTTAAATTAGTTTTTAAATATAGATACGCTTAGGACTTAGGTACAGTATACAATTATATATTCGATATTTGTATATATATATATATATATAGCCAATTGGTGTATTTTGTAAGGGAGATTGTTTCGGGGGGTTTTGTGTGTCCTTAGATTTAGATCTACGTGTTTATGTCATTTTTTACACCGATAAATTAAAGCTGATCGATCTGTGGTTGGTCTGGGAGCAATCATCCTCGCCAGATATCTATCAACAAAGAAACTAGTGGCTAAAATCATCATAATTTACATACATAATAAAACTATGCACTTAATGGCTATAAATAATAGTAACAATTATGTGTGTAGAAAGGAAATTCTTTTGCTAAGCATTACACGATAGCTAGGACTAACAATATCAGGACCCAAATCCTTCTCGTCCTCGTCTTGGTGTCGCCTGACCGTGTTCTCCTACTTCTATCCATTGCGCTGTTACACAACTTAAGCACTAAAGGCACTAGTCTAATATTTGGTTTGATCGCATTCAGATCCTTGATTATGGCCATGGACTGTGTGGACTCTCGACTCCACATGATTACATGTTGAAGGCCAGCGGCTTCATGTTCGCCACCGACGACATGCGGCGCACGCGGCCCATCATCTTGCGCTCGATATCCTCCAGCGTCTTGCCCTGCGTCTCGGGCACGTACAATATCACAAAGAACAGGCCAATGAAGCAGATGGATCCAAACAGCCAGAAGGCTCCATGGGCGCCCATGAAATCTAAAGAGGATCGAGGAACATTCATTAGCAACCTCTTCTTTTGGGACTCTATTTTTTTGGCTACTCACCAATCATATCCTGGAACGTCTTGGTCACCACGAAAGTGCAGGACCAGTTGAAGGCGGTGGCAACAGAGGCAGCTGAGCCGCGAATCTTCGACGGCAAAATTTCGCCCATCATCAGCCAGGGAATGGGGCCGAAGCCCAGCGAGAAGCCCAGAATGTAGATGACGAAACAGCTCAGCGGCAGCCAACCCAGCTGGCTCACGTCTTGTCCATGCGACTTGCAGTAGAAGAAGCCGCCCAGCACAAACAGAGTGATGATCATGGCTATGTTGGACACGTACAGCAGGATCTGCCAGAAAACGGGAAGCGTCAGTAAAGAGGGACAATATTCTCGAGGCTTTGGCCATTCGGAACTCACCTTGCGTCCGGCGCGATCAATCAGGAGGGTGGCTATGAAGGTGGCCATGAAATTGACGATACCCACTATGATGGTGCAGAGATTGCCGTCGATGGTCGAGCCGGCATCCTTGAAAATGGACACAGTGTAGAAGATGACGGCATTGATACCACTCAGCTGCTGGAAGAACATCAGACCCAGGGAGATGGACAACGGCTTCAGGTTGTTGCGCTTCAGTAGCTCCATCATCTTGTTCTGGGTGGCCTGGCGATCGGCGTCGGCCTGCGACCGCATCAGTCCCTTCAGCTCCGGCTCCACATCAGCCTCTTTGCCGCGCAGCCACGAGAGTGCCTTGCGGGCCTTCTCCTCCCGACCGCGGCTCACAAACCAGCGCGGCGTCTCCGGGATGAGGAACATCAGGATGAGGAACGGCACAGGCAATGCGGCCCCCAGGAAGGCCAGCATTGACCAGTCCATGTACGTTCCGGCTACAAAGCACAACAGTATGCCAATATTACCAAAGGCCGTCGGCAGCAGTCCGAGAGTGCCGCGCACCTCCGGCTGGACCGTCTCGCCCAGATAAACGGGCAGCGACAGCGAGGCGATGCCCACACAGAATCCAGCCAGGAAGCGTCCTGCCAGCACCATGGCCACATTCACGGCACAGGCAATCAGCAGCGAGGACACAATGAAGGGTATGGCCGTGGCCAGGATGGTGTTGCGCCTGCCCAAATACTCGATGAAGGGTCCGCCAGCAATGCCACCGGCTAGACCAGCCAAGGGCATGATGCCGCCCACCCAAGAGGCCTGCAAGTTGAGAAGGAAATTCGATTGATTATGAAATTTGATGGGAATTCAATAGGGAACAAAGTACTCTGGAAAAATGTGGAAGATTTTGCAGCAGATAAAGCAGAAAGGATCGAAAGGAGATTCTTGATGAACCAAATCCAATGGCAGCCAAAGCCATCATCTTGCTTGTGCTGTTTTCACTTGAAGAAATTCCACATTTCTGATACCCCCACAGAGATTCGATTGTACATTTGCTGGATTTTGCTGCTTGCTACTTGCTACTTACCGCTTGCGGAGTGACCTCAAACGAAGTCATATTTCTGTTCGTCATTGACACCAAGGCCGGGGAGGTGTAGGCGCTGACAAAGCCCACCACGAGAGAGCCCAGAGACACGCTCAAAGCAGCCAAGACCTGTAAAAAACAACAAGGAATATAATATTTAATTAAAAGTCAAACACTTTCAAAGATCTATAGAGATCAAGGACAAGGGAAATCCACCTGAGAGAAGGTGCAAATGGCCTTGGGCTCCTCCACGGGCACGGCGAAGGACACATGGGTGTCCGCACGCATCAAGATCTTCATGATCAGTGCTTTGTGTTTAGCGGATTTATGGATAGATCTGTTTCGATCCGAATGCAAACAAGGTTGCGGCTGGGGGCTGCCTTTCACTTTAAGCCTTGCACTCCTGAATGCTTTCAGCACGTTTGCCGTTCGCCCGACGAAACTCAACTGAAACTTGTCATTTTGCAGTTGCAGTTTTTGGAGAATCGAACCGTTTGGCGATCTATTTGTTAGGCTTAGGCACGTACATACATAAGCGCGGGCAGGCACACATGAACGACGAAAACATATATGTAAAGACGGTTATGTAGATGCAGTTTTGCGGCTTATCACTTATTGACCGCACTGCTGCTGCACAGCAGCGTACTCAATCGATTATGCGCGATGCCTTTAGTGGCAGCGCGGCATCTTATCACGCTATTTACGTGTGAGAGAGACACTCGGATTGATAAGCATCCCCAAAGCGGGCACGAAGAAGCTGCAGTTGTTTCTGCTTGAGTCTGGGTCTGGGCCTGGAAATCGCGGGAGTCCGGCAGCGGCAGCGAGCGAACGCGTGGCAAACGTCTCTGGCGAGGACGAAGCAAAGTGCAACTGCCGGACCCACACACAGGAGAGGCCCTTAGCCCCTAAGGGAGCATTGCATTCGACTCGTATCCAATACGATCCATCAGATACAAGTATTTTTAGTCTGGCCATAACTAAATGCGTTAATTTCAATTAAAGTGAACGGCAGTGCGAGTGCCAGCACCAGCGCCAGCGCCAGCGAATTATAATTCAAGGCGTGCGAAAATAGCTCTCGACACGCATGCCCCGCTCTGACCCACAATCTGGGGCTGCGGCTGCTTCTTGGGCTTTAAATTGGCTCAAAGAATGCTTTATGATGGCATTAATGCCCATTCATAATCCATAACTATATCCAGCCCGTGGCGGCGCCAACAAGCTTAACGAGCTGACAATAGCCGCACGGTGTGTCCTCGGGGGATAGGGATAGGTCTCATGGATGGACTGAGACCAGTAATAGCCATTGCACACTCTGACTCTGTAGTGTTCGACCTACCTGTGTCCATATATAGATGGGATTCGTGGTGGGCCTGTAGACCTCCAGCTTGGGTTTTCCATCTTCGGTTATCTGGCGCACAAAGGGCACTGCATGACGGATGTTCTCGCCCCGCTTGTTCCCCATTTCATCCATCTCGTACGGGCGACGGCTGAAATTGCGTTTCAATGTTGGATTAGAAGGTGACTAACCGTCATTATACTATCAAAATACTATTCGTCTTCCACTTAAGCGGACAGACACTTCAATTAGCCTGAGCATAAACGTGCTACGCATTAAGTTTCCGGTGACGTCTTGGGGTTCATCTGAGGTTCCCTGCTTATTTCTGTATATTTTTAACAATTTTTAGCTGTATTCTTCAGTAAACCATTCACTTTTCATTCCACTTTAGACTATCGATTTTCCATATTGCCTTGCTATATCTATTATATATCATTGTTCTGTGTGTGGGTTCCCCTAATGCCTACCCTGGCGCCTAGCACACGTTTTCAAATTACCCGCTCGACAGCTGGCAGTACTAAAAGATCCCCTAGCGACAGATCCAGATAATGCCTTGACCCCGGGACTCACCTTTTGCGGGAATCTGTGCTGATGGAGCGCTGCTGCTGGAAGTGCTGTCGCGACGTGTGGAAGTCCTCGTCGCTTTCGCTCTCCAAATCCTTGAGGTCGATAATGAGCGGCTTGGTGATGTCCTTGGGGCGGTGGATGAGGCGCTTGTGCTCCGGGTCGTCGCCCTCCTCGTCGCTGTCGGTGCTGGAGCCCTGTAATACTTTGTCTAGCTTGAAGGTGACACGCGGATCGAGACTCTGGTGCTTGCGGCCCTGGAACTCGCGGCGCGTCTTGTGGAACTCCTCCTCCGAGGATGACTCCTTGAGTAGGTCCTGCAGGAAGCGAGTTCCCTTCACGTCCAGCGACACGTGCTTCTTGGCCTGGAACTGGCGCCGATTGTCGTTGGCCAAAATGTGCTTCAGGTCCTTCAATATGCCCTTGTGGTCCACGCTGGTGGCCTTCTGTTGCTGGAACCCGATACGTTTGTCCTCAAAGCTGTCCTCGTCGCTGCTCTCCGCCTGTGCGGGTGGCTTGCTGCTGGCGTTGTTCTTCTCGAAGGACACGCGGGAGCCCTTCAGCGATTGCTT